GTATTGCAGAGGATGTCTCATAAAACTGTCTTAAGTTACATTATGATTTACAATAATGTTTACATTTTGACTACCTCTCAATTCCACCACACTTGTCCTCACTCTTATTTGGAACTATTCAACCTCCAAGATCTTGAAAAAGAAGCTTCCCGTCTCTGACCACAACCTCTATCTCATCTACAGCTATCACTCATAAGTTGACTTTGTGACCTCATTTTGACCTCCTGTCTCGTCTGGCTCTATTCTTCTGAGTTGGGAGACCATCACGATATTTTTCTTAAGCTCTGCAATCAGCAATGACAGTGTCCTCTCAAACAATTCCAGATTCTATCTCCCTTCTTAACCCTCTTCCATGCCCACCTTCCCAAGCTCCACTCAGTGTTTTTTTGGGGGGGCTTAGGTAACTGAACATGATTAGGGAAAGTTCTCAAATAAGATCATCAACACTCATTTAATTCAGTCTTCACAGCATCCCTCACAGAATCTCTGGGGAAGTATTATGTTACCTTTTTTTATGTATTGGTGGGACCAGGGCTCAGTGTGGTATAATGATTCACCCAAGGACACTTGGTGCTCTGTGTGTGTATACACACATATACATATATATACACACACACATATATGTGTGTATATATATATATTATTATATATTATTATATACATATATATATTTTTTTTTTTTTAGTTGGAGTCTCACTCTGTTGCCCAGACTGGAGTGCAGTGTCACGCTCCCGGCCACCGCAGTCTTGACCTGCTGGGCTCTGACGATCCTTCCGCCTCAGGCTTCCACGTAGCTGGAACTACAGTCACGTGCTACCATGCCCAGCTAATTTTTTTGATTTATTGTAGAGATGAGGTCTTGCCCAAGTTGCCCAGGCGGGTCTTGAACATGTGGGCTCAGGCAATTCACTCACCTCAGCCTCCCAAAGTGCGGGATTACAGGCTGAGCCACCGAGCCCGGCTATATATTTTTTTTTAACCCAGGCCTGTCTGGTACCCAAGCCTGCATTTTTTTTTGTTGTTGTTGTTCCTTTGGCCCTGTTCTCTACTGCATGCTCATATTTTTTTTCTGTTTCTTATTGACCATCTGATACATTCAGACCTTTACTGCTCTCCTTAAACTTTGCCCAACTTCCAACCCATAGTAGATAATTTAACCTACTTCACTGAAACCATTGAGGGCATCCAGCAGAATCTCTTTCAGGTATTTTCTTCATATGCACTCTTGTTTTTCGGCCTCCTCATTGCTAATATCATACCCTCCTCTAGGTTACTGATTCCACTCTCTCCAGGGCCTTGCTTTATGACTTATTTCTGTTCTTCCTCTCATACTGATCCTTTCATAATGATCATTTCTCCTCTGCTTTAAAAAAGAAAAAAACAAAACTATCTATTTGATTTAGCAGTCCTGAGCTAATTGGTGAGCACAGATTCCAGGAGGCAAAGCTGATAACTGAATAGGAGCTAGGGAATTAAAAGGGATGAATGTGAACTTCTGAAAAGTAGGCTTGCAGTGAGTTGAGAAGGGACTGTATGACTGAGGGTCACTTTGTCGTTGTTGCTTTAAAGAGATAGGGTAGTTTTAAGGATGAGTACATGCTTTTAAAGAAAGAAAAAAGGAGAGGTTTGTGGAGTAACACCCCAGAGTGAGATTCAAGGGATTAACCTCAAGCACCTTAATAGACAAACGATACCAATGTATAAATGACTCCTCTCTGGAACTTTTCTTGATGGGCTCAGCAGGAAGTTTTTCTTTCTTCTCTGATCTCCTGTAGCAACTTATTTAATTCTCATGGCATTTAACACATGAGAATGGAATTATGTAATGTGCCAGTATAATTATTATGAGCTATACTGTCTAGGTTTAATTCCTGGCTTCACCATTTGTGATTTGGGAAAAATTACTTATTTTCTTTGTACTCAGTTTCCTTATCTATGACATGGGGATAATAGTAGTAGCTACATCATTGTTTTGAGGATTAATATTTATAAAGCTCTTAGAGCATGTTTTTTCCCTTCTACTAAAATTATAAGGTTCTTAAACATAGGAACCTATTCTTTGTACAGTATATTACTTAATATACCCAATATAGTTCATACCTATAATAGTTCAAAATTTGATTTTTGAAAATGATGGAATATAATTTGTAAGTTAGCCTTTGGGTGTAAGAATCCAGTTGATAATTACTATATCTTCACGTTTTTTTTTTCTGCAGTGATACTCAAACTCTAGTGTAGGACCAGATTCCAGACAGCTGCGTGATACTGAACCTTGATGATGTTAGCCAGGAAGATTCAGGCAAGGATGTGGGATAGGAAGAGGTAGAAACCTGGAAGTGGAAATGGGAGGAAGTAGGGAACAGGTAGTAAGACCCTCTAATGAAAATGTTAACATATTATTTAGGCCAAAAAAGCCCTTAATGGGAGTTACAGATATCCCTTGGAGTAGTTGAGGCTAGTCACCATCCAAGCTATATGGTTTGTTGTCTTTGAGCAACACCAAACCAAGGTAACTTCTGTGACTAGAGTTTTAGTGAGTGGGAAGCAGCAGGGTAAACAGGATTATTGAGATGCTTGAGAAAGGATCTGCCTGGGTTGGCTAAGGAATGAAAGAGGAAGAAAAGCTAAATTTCTGCTTTCAGGCAGCTCACTACCTACTGTCTTATTTTGTCTTTTCCTTCTGAATGTTTTGTTATTAGTCTTGGGATTCCTGAACTGCAGGGTGATCTCTAGAGCAGAGAGATGGTGAATATGAGCTTCATGCTGTGTGCCTCCTGATATGTGGTACTGAGAAGGAATGCCTTGACCGCTTAGCAGTGCCTCCCATGACTAAGGAGAGGATTGGCAAGAGAACCCATTCCCTTCAGTGCCTCCTATGCTGAGGATGGAAAAAAATTAATGTGTTATCTAGGAAGTAGTTACATAGTTGGTGCTATGATATCTAATTATATAGAAAAATACTTGCAACTCTGCAATTTTTGACTGGCAGCATTTAGATGTCAAAACTCAAATGAGTCCTGGATCTATCTGTCCATTGAGCTTGACTTTCTTAAATAAAGTTTTTTGCAATATCATGGTCTTCACTGCAGCGCGATTTTGGTATTTAAATGGGATTTATGCTCAGTGCCTTAGCTTTCTTTAGTGTGTGCCTAGTTCTTGCATTTCTTTTTAATCTGTTTTGCAGTTTTTAGAAGGCACTTTTTCTGAATCACTTCAGAAGTATTTTACAGTGTTTTCCTGTCCGTGTGGATTTATTTGCTATTATGTTTGTTCTTTTCTATACGTGGTTTTGTAAGAGCTTTCTTCTCCCCCTTTTTAATATCCATGATAGCCAAATGTAATTTCTGGTATTGCATAGAAAAACTTTTCCTAGCTTTAAATTATTTGATCTACATAGTTCACAACAATATAACTGCTTTCTCAGAAATTAAGGCGAAAAGTCTTATTGACCATATATGGGTAATACAAGAGAATTATAAACAATTTCTGCCCTCAAGGAGCTTATAATATAGTTAAACCAGACTTAAACATATGGTAAATTAAACATTTTGATAATAGTTCTAGCAGCAGGCCATAAAGAAGTGCATGGCTAATTATATTAGTTATATAGAAAATGATGACTCTAGAATTTAGAGAAAAGATTTACTTTAGTCCAGGGGTCTCCAAGCTCTGGGCTGCACACCGGTACCCAGTCTCTAGCCTGCTAGAAACTGGGCCACACAGCAGGAGGTGAGCAGCAGGAGAGCAAGCAAAGCTTCATCTGTATTTACAGCCACTCCCACAGCCCCATCTGAGCTCCACCTCTTATCTGATCAGTAGCTGCATTAGATCCTCATAGGAGCTCACACCCTGTTGTGAAGTGCACATGCAAGGAATCTAGGTTGTACACTCCTTCTGAGAATCTAATACCTGATGATCTGAGGTGGTGCTGAGGCTAGCTATGGGGAGCGGCTGCAAATACAGATTAAGGTTAGCAGTGAAGTTTGACTGCTAACAGTGAAGTTTGACAGAGAGACCATAATAAATCAATTGCTTGCAGACTCATACCAAAACCCTATCAGTTTCTTACTTTGGAAGGCAGCTTAAAGTTGTCTTGTGTGCAAATGTAGATTAGGGATTTACATATGATTGAATTTTGCAAGTTATTAAAATGAATAATGGCTAGAGCTGGTGTCTGCTATTATGTCAAACTGGGCTTTAAACTTTATCTGTATGGGCTTTTTCATTTGTAAATATGTGAAAATATATGGACTAGTTGTTTGCTAGGCCTTCCTGCTTTATTCATTTTTGAAACATCACTGATTACAAAGTGGTCTTTTTATAATAGGTACTAATAAATTGTTATTAATATTAATTTTGTATCTGTAGTTTGATATGTGCATGGTGCACTTAAAAATAAACCCTATCAGTGAGTGGCAGGTGAATTGATATACTTCAAATGTACAACTGTATCTGGAGGCAGGCTTTAAGTCAGAATCCAACACTTATTTTAGTCCATGTGTCCCACCCATTATTTTATTTACCACTTCTGTCCACACCTCTTTCTATTTTTTTTATGGTGAGTTGTATAATTATTTCATTATATATTACAATGTAATATTAATAAAGCGCACAATAAATGTTAGGCACTCGAATCATCCCGAAACCATCCCCCCCCATCATTCATCCATGGGAAAATTGTCTTCCACAAAACTGGTCCCTGATGCCAAAAAGGTCAGGGACCACTGCTTGAGTTTATATTAGTCAAGGAAAACTTTATTGGGCTGGTGGAATTTGAACTTAGTCCTGAAATATGAGTAAATTTTGGATAAGAGAGACTAATCCAGATTTCTTGTTGATAAGTTTTACAGTACTTTGTCCTCTAATTTTTTTCTAAAAGAAAAAAACTTTGAACTATCCTTTTTAAATTGTGTTTTCAATCCATGTCGTTATAATAAACACTGGAAAGTATTTGACATCTCAGTTGCTTTCAATTTTCTTTGTCTGTGTTTTTGTTATAGGCATCCTGATTTTCATCTGCTAATGGAAGGACAAAGGTATGGTTGAATCAGTATCACTTACCTTCTATATATTTATATTAATAGAAACACTATGGCTAAGCCAGGTGATTTGAGCTCTTGGACTTCCTGTGCTGATGTATTATGTAAGTGTCCCATTCTAGCCTACACAAAGAAGTATTTGACCTGTTCAGCTTTTTCTTTTGTGATGGTAAGATGATGTGTTTGATCTGTATGATTTATTGTACAGCTGTTCCTACCGAAGAAGTCTAATTGAACCTGTTGAAATATAACACAAACACAGCTTCCATCTCAGACACCGCATTTGCCAACTAGATTGTGCCAATTACATGTGTGGAAAGATTTTTGTAGTCTTATAGGATTTCAAGGCATTAATCAGTCAGTTATTTAATTATTTAAAAGAATATCTAAAGCATTAATATAAATTCCAAGTTGTGATTTTTTTTTCCTAAACTTTCCTCATTGTATTGCTGGCCCAACTATGACCATCACTCAAAATACATCCTTTATTTCTCATTATAAATGTTCCTAGTTATTAGTCACTACTTGAGTCACATGGCATTGGACACAAATAAGAGATATTTATTGATATATGTCTATAAATTTATAGCTTCAAAATAGTATAGTAAAATATAATTGTCTTAAAATTCCAAGAGAAAGTATGACATACATGAAAGTTATTGTTCTGGCCAGGTGTGGTGGTTCACGTCTGTAATCCCAGCACGTTGGGAGGCAGAAACGAAAGGATTGTCTAAGCCCAGGGATTCAAGACCAGCCTGTGCAACTTGACAAGACCTTGTCTCTACAGTGTATCAAAAAAATTAGCTGGGTGTGGTGGCTCACACCTGTATTTGCAACTACTTGGGAGACTGAGACAGAAAGATTGTCTGAGCCCAGCAGGTAAAGACTGTGGTAGTCAGGAGTGCGCCACTGCACTCCAACTTGAGTGACAGTGAGACTTCAAAAAAAAAAAATTGCTCCGATTCTTTTGAAATTATACTTATTCATTCTTCTACTGATCTAAGAAACAGCCCTATGCTATGTAGGCTAGATTCTAACTAAAACATGATATCTGATGCTGAACAAACTTATCTTTTCTTCATTCTTATTCACAACCTTGCTTTCAACTTTTTAAAAAATTTATTTTAAAACATTTTTATTTTATGAAGATATGGAGTCTCACTATGTTGCCCAGGCTGGTCTCAAACTCCTGGCCCCAAGTGATCTTCCTGCCTCAGCCTCCCAAAGTGCTGGGATTACAGACATGAGCTACTGCGCCAGACACATCCTGATCTTTTAAGGTTCTGATATGTGTGTATATCTTGAGAGCATCCTTATTTGTTTCAAGTTTGTATTAGCAAAGCTACTCTTTACCTTCATTCTTCCATAATTCTTCATCTTATTCAAACCTAATCTGAAAAATTGAAGAGCATAGTCAAAGGGACAACTTTTGTCTTTTGTTGTTAGCAGTTTTTTGTAATTCTGGATTTTTAAATTTAACTGTATTTATTTGAACAATATTGATTTGCCAGCTTTATTTTCTGCTGTGACTTTTCTCTGATTTCTTTGCTGTGGAATATGCTGCACGACAGTCAACCAGATTCTAATTCGAAAATGTTTACCCATATTTTTATCTTTTAAACCTAAATAGATTTCCTGTAATATAGTTTTTTGAAAAACCGGTAATGAAATTTTCAAAAGAAAAATATTTTTTATAAAAGGTTGTATAAACATTAACAGAAATGGAACAGACAAAAATCAAAATAATTCAGTAGGTTAGCATTATCAAGTTTTTTTTTTTTCTCCTTTTGCTTGCACTCCTTCAGTAACTTAAAAATAATAATTGAGAAAGGCAAGAAAAAGCGACGGAAGGAGAACTATATCAAATATTTGCTAGATGTAGAGAAATTATAGGCTGATTCTCAAATTTATATATCAAAGCCTATAAATAAGGCTTTGTCTGGGGCATAAAAATTTCTGCCTAGAAAGTTACAAAGTATAAATACTGTGGGACACTTTACTTTCTTGTTATTTTGTTTTTTGTTATTTGTTATTTAGTTATCTCATTTATCTTTCATTCTACAGTGGCCATTCTGGAGAAGAAGTACAGTTATGCAGTAAAGCCATTAAAACATCAGATATTGACAGTCCCAGCCATTTTGAAAAGCAATATGAATCTAGTTCTTCTAGCACTCAAAGTGATAGTAGCAGTGATAGTGAGCAAGACTTCGTTTCCTCCATTCTACCAGGAAACAGACCAAATTCAACAAGTATCAGGCCACAGCTGCACAAAAAAAGCATGATGAGAAAGAAAGCTGGTCACAAAGCTAGCTCCAAATACCAAGACAAAGAACAGATAGTAGTAGATCTCACTGAGCAGTTAGGCAATTGCAGATTGGATAGTCAGGAGAAAGCTGCTACATGTGAACTTCCTGTACAGAAGGTAAATACTCAGATTTCTTCAGATAGTCCTTTGCTTGGAAGATTAGAACCTTCAGAAAATTCTGAAAATAAATACAGTAGATCAGAAATTACTCTAGTAGGCATAAGTAAGAAAAGTGCTGAGCATTTTAAGAGAAAATTTGCCAAATCAAACCGAGTTTCTAGATCAATTTCTAGCTCAGTGCAGGTGTGTCCTGAAGTTGCAAAGACAAGCTTACTTAAAGTTTTAAAGGAGACTTTGATTGAGTGGAAGACAAAAGATACTTTGAGGTTTTTGTATGGCCAAAATTATGCTTCTGTGTGTCTGAAACCCTCTTTGGCCTCTCCAATTAAAGAGCAACTTGATGAAGATGACATAATCTCTGACCAGGATAGTCATTCCCCTGCCTGGAGGGAACCTCAGAGCAGTTTAGATGAGTCTTTACCCTTTAAGGACTCAGATACAGCCATTAAACCATTGCCAAGCTATGAGAACTTGAAAAAAGAAACAGAAAGATTAAATTTAAGAATCAAGGAGTTTTATAAAGGACGATATGTTTTGAATGAAGAAACTGCCAAATCACAAGACTCAGAAGAGGTATGTCTTAATAATGACATTTTTTCCAGGCTGTTAACATTGGGAAAACTTACCATGGCAAGTCTTGGAGCAGGAAGAATATTGTATTGTTAGTAATATAACATTAATATTATAATTGTTAAATTTTCAGATTTTTTTTTTTTTTAAATCAAGAGTCTCCCTCTGTTGCCCAGGCTGGAGTGCAGTGGCACAATCACGGCTTACCACAGCCAAGATTTCTGGGCTCAGGCCATCCTTCCACCTCAGCCTCCCAAGTAGCTGGGACTACAGACATGTACCACCACACCCAGTTTTTTATTTTTCGTACAGACAAGGTCCTGCTGTGTTGCCCACGCTTGCCTAACTCCTGAGTTCAAGAGACCCTCCTGCCTTGGCCTCCCAAAGAGATGGGATTAAAGGCGTGAGTCACTGCACCCAGCTTCAGATGGTTTCTTAAATCATTCATCCTTGTGGTTTATAGTGCCATCTCCATTATTTGCTTTACTATTTTACAAATAAATTGAATCTCCCTTGGGAAATCTTCATAGATGTATAATATTTTTTCTAATGTAAAAATAGCCTAAAAAGGTGGGACAAAAAATTTTCTTTAAAACCTAATTCTTCATACAATAAGTGAACTCTCTGAAGAGATTTGCATTTTCTTTGTTTCTATGTATTCTTTCAGATTTCTCCCTGGGGTGTGTGTGTATTTTATTTTTAATGGAATTATACCATGGACTAGACTTACAAGTTGCATAGTAAAATAATTTAATAGTATTTGGCAAATGTGCCCATTTAAAATATTATAGATGAAAATAATGTAGTAAAAGAGACTTATTGGGAAATAATTGATAGAGAGAATGAAAGCACATTCAGATAGACCTAGCTTTGAATATTTGCACTGTCATTTACTCACTATATGAAAAATTAGTTCTTGAGTCTGTTTGCTCATCTGTAAATTGGACTATTTGTACCTCCTCCTGCTATTTTTGAGTTTTAAAAATAATGAATGTAAAGCATTTATCACAGTACATGGCATATAATTGGTACTCAGTAAATGGTACTTATGTGTAGAAACTGAAGATCGCTACTGAAAATGTGCTGCTGTGATTTAGGGAGGATCTTTTAGTATTTCTACTCCCCATATTTGACTGATATTTCTGTCCGGGAAATGAAGTCATTTGACATGAAAAGGAGTAGATAGTAACTTTGCTTTTACCACAACACTTCGCTACTGAAGATTTCTAAGTATGGCTCTAAATTTAAAAACACATTGGAGATTTGGAAAGAGGGTAGAAATATAGTAAAAATTTAGAAATTTCTTATATTTGTATAGAATGCTGCCTGACCCAGCACCATAGTGAAATCACTTCAACTGTATCATTAGATAGCATCTTCTTAGGAGAGACCTTGATCTCTGTCACTAAGATGTATAAACCTACCATAGTATGTCACTTTTTTAAAATCATTTTTGTGCTTATAAGCCTTAGGAAGAAAAAAATTACTCTTTGAAGTAATTTACGACCTTTCATAAATTTATAACTTTTTTCAAAAATGTTACATAACATTTTTAAATGTTTTCTTTGACATATACGACAAACAGTAAGTATACAGTTTATTTAATACACACGTGAAGACACACTCATGTAATTACTACCCAAGCCGAGAAATAGATTACTACAAGTAAACTAGAAGCCTCACATATGTCCTAATCTTTATCTCCTTCCTTAATGACTGTTATATTAGCATAGATTAGTTTTGTCAGTTTGGAGTTTGTTTGTTTGTTTGTTTTAGTTAGGGTCTCACTCTGTCACCCAGGCTGGTGTGCAGTGGTATGATCATGGTTCACCACAGCCTCGACATCCTGGACTCAGGTGATCTTTCCACTTCAGCATCCCAAGTAGCTGGGACTACTGGTGCGTACTACTATGCCCAGCTAATCTTTAAATTTTTTTAGAGATGGGGTCTCTCTATGTTGCTCAAGCTGGTCTTGAACTCCTGGCTCAAACAGTCTTCAGCCTCCCAAAGTGCTGATATTATAGGCATGAGCCACCCCACCTGGTCATTTTTGTCAGTTTTTGAGCGGCATGCTTTGGTGTCCAATTTATTTTGTGCAATATTATGTGAGTGGTTTGTGTTGTTGCATGTAACTATAGTTCATTCCTTCATTGTGTGGTATTTCATTATGTAAATATACCATAATTTATGTATTTTAATGGACATTTAGACTATTTCCTGTTTGGGGCTTTTATGAACAATGCTGTTATAAACTTTTTTGTGTATGTCTCTCTGCTAGCGTGCATGCATTTCTGAAGTGCATGCATGAATCTAGGACTGAAAATGCCAGGTTATAGTGTATGCTTGTATCAAAAATGATGAAAATCCTGCTTCTGGAGTTAGTCAGTGCCCTGTCTGGAATTACTTTCTCCAGGATCTCAGCCTACAGTTCTTTATGGCCTTGCTGATGCTTTTAAAGAAATGTGGTTTTTTTCCCCAGCTTTTTTCAGTTCTCAGAGAAAGAGGGCTGGTTTGAATTATCCTGTCTTCACTTCTAAAAGCAGAACAACTCATAAGATATTTATAGTATTTCCTAATTTTAATCTTTTAATCCCCTACATTTGTAAAGCATTAGCAGTTTACAAAATCTTTTTATATACATTTTCTCATGTAATGAAGGAGGTATTACTATTGCCATTATACAGATGAGAAAACTAACTCTTCAAAGAGGGCTGATGACTCAAGCAGATTCCATGAACCTGGTGACTGAGCTGACCCTAAAACTTAGTCTTCTGATTCTCAAGTCTAGGTCTTTCCCTACTGTACCATAGGTATAAACTTTTGTGTTTTAATGTTTATTGTTCTACTTATCAAAAAATGTAAACTTATTGTTTTATTTTGCTTTGTTTAAAAAATGTGATTTAGCACGATCCCACCTTTCCACTGATAGATTCAAGTTCCCAGAACCAGATCAGGAAACGCATCGTACTTGAAAAATTGAGTAAAGTGTAAGTGTATAATTGCTTTTCCAGTTCTGTAATATTTTTTAATTGTTAAATATAAGGGTCTTTAAACTTGATATTTATGAGTATATAATCTATAAATATTACCCTTGAATTTTGAACATTTAAAAAAATAACATGAAAAGTTACCTGGATTTTTCACTTAAGAATCTTAGATTTTTAAGCCGGGCACAGTGGCTCATGTCTATAATCCCGGCACTTTGGGAGGCCAAGGTGAGGGGATTACCCGAGCTCATGGGTTCAAGACCAGCCTGGGCAACTTGGTGAGACCTCATCTTTACAATAAATCAAAAAATTAGCCAGATGTGGTAGTGCACGCCTATAGTTCCAGCTACTTGGAAGGCTGAGGTGGAAGGATCACCATAGTCCAGCCGGTTGAGGCTGCAGTGGCCATGAGCATGCCACTGTACTCCAGCCTGGGTAACACAGCAAGACTCCAATGCAAAAATAAAATAAAATAAACTTAGATTTTTAAAATATTCTATTTAGGAAATACAAAATTTTATGTAGAAGACACAGAGGCACATCTGAAGGAAGGTTGAGATTGTGGGCTTAGAATATCAAACTACCTCACTTCCACTTAATAATATAGTGAAGTGAGGGAAAAAGTATCAAAGCTAGACCCATTTGCAGTAAATGTGTCACAGCAGTTTCACATGTGAATAAGATGTTGTTACAAAGTTTTTAGGGTCTTTTAACTCACTCTGCATATATATTCATAGAACTGTTTCACACTCAGCAACTTGAGTTTTTGTTCAGCTCAACTTTACACTTTACCTTCAAAGTTCCCGTGGTGGAAATTATTGTTCTTTGTAATTATTCCAGTCATAAATGACGTTTAAAAATTGCTATCTTGGTTTTTCTTTCAAAACAAACTTGAAAATCTTTTTTCCAGAGGCATGAAGGCTGTCTTGAACTTTTAACCTGCATTTTTTTTTCTTAGCAGAAAACATGGAAAAATGTGTCAGTCACTGTTTAAGGTGTTGTGAATATGAATAAGTCTTATTTTGTAGTAGTTTGAAAATGAGCAAAACATATTTCATATTAGCTAAAGTACAAAGAACAGTGAAAACTATGGTAGAATGGGGTTGTTATTTGTTGGGGTTTTTCTCGTTATGAAAGTGAGACCTTTTTTTGTTTTTAACTTGAAAAAAATTTAAGTATTTGTTTCAGATAATGACAGGAAATTAAATATGCCCTGGATATTAGATGATATTAAGAAATTGTTAATTTGGTTAGGTATGATAATTTTATTGTGGTGATATAATAAGGTGCCTTTGTATTGAGAGATACAAATGGAAATAGGGGTCAAATGACATGATAGAATGATTTGCTTTGCTTTTATTTTATTTTATTTTAATTTAGTTTTTAAAGACAGGATCTGGCTCTGTCACCCTTGCTAGAGTGCAGTGGTGCGATCATGGTTCACTGCACCCTTGATCTCCTGGGCTCAAACAATGCTCCCACCTCAGCCTCCAGAGTTAGTAGGAATGCAGGCACATGTCATCAACTCTGGCTAATCTCTTTATTTATTGTAGAAATGATGTCTCACTATGTTGCCCCGGCTGATCTTAAAGTCCTTGACTCAAGTAGTCCTCCTGCCTCCGCCTCCCATGGTGCTAGGATTACAGGTGTTAGCCACCCCACTTGTTCAGGGATTTACTTTAAAATATTACTGCACGCAAAAGAAAGGAACACATGAAAAATGAAGCAAATGTAGCAAAAATTGGGAGGTTAAATCTGGAAAGAGGTATGTGGGTTATTGCTAGTCTTTCTTTTTTTGAGTTGGAGTCTTACTCTGTCAGGCTGGAGTACAGTGGCACACTCATGGCCACCCCAGCATCTGCTGGGCTCTGGTGATCCTTCCGCCTCAGCCTTCCAAGTAGCTGGAACTACAGGCGTGTGCTACCACATCCAGCTATTTTTTTTTTTTTTAAGTTATTGTAGAGACGAGGTCTCGCCAAGTTGCCCGAGCTGGTCTCTAACCGGTGGGCTCAGGCTGATAGTCTTTCTATTTTGGAACATAATAAGCTTTTAAAAAAAAAAGTAACACATGCTTATTGTAGAAGATTAGGCAATGCAAAATGTTAAAAGAAGGAAGTGAAGCCAGGCATGGTGGTTCACACCTATAATCCTAGCACTTTGGGAGACGGAGGCAAGAAGATTGCCTGAGCCCAGGAGTTGGAGACCAGCCGGGGCAACTTGACAATACCTCGTCATCACTAAAATAAATCAAAAAATTAGCCAGGTATGGTGGCACATACCTGTAATCCCAGCTACTTGGAAGGCTGAGGTGGAAGGATCACCTGAGCCCAGCAGGTCAAGGCTGTGGTGGCCATGAGCATGCCACTGTACTCCAGCCTGGGTGGCAATGAGACTCCGACTCAAAACAAAAAGAAGAAGGAAGAAGTGAAAATCACCTATGTTTAGTATATTTATATTCATTCCTTTTGGCTCTCTCTGTTATAGGATAAACCTAGAAGAAATAAAATATGTTTGCTATGTAATATGTATCACATACAATAGTATTTTATAATATACATGTTTTTATCAAAATGGGACAATATGTATGCATTTTCACTTAACATTTATCATGAATATCTTTTCATATTTAAAAATAGATTCACACTATATTAAATGTTTTGTTCTATTAAATGGCTATATCCTAATTTATTTAGCCAGTTACCTATTGATATACATTTGTTTCTAATTTTTCACTGCTAGAACTATTTCTGCAATGTGCATCTTTTTATGTTTTTATATTAATTTTATGTTTATGTTTAGGTTAATTAGGTTAGTTTTTAGTAAAACTATTGGGTTAAAGAGTATCTGCATTTAAGTGTTAATATATATTGTAATATTGCTCTTGGCCATGCTCAGTGGCTTGGCCTGTAATCCCAGCACTTTGGGAGGCCCAGACAAGTAGATTGCCTGATCCCATGGGTTTGAGAACAGCCTGGGCAACTTGGTGAGACCTCGTCTCTACAATAAATCAAAAATTAGCCTGGCATGGTATCACGTGCCTGTAGTTCTGGCTACTTGGAAGGCTGAGGTGGAAGGATTGCTGGAGCCCAGCGGATCGATGCTGGGGTGCCCATGAGCATGCCACTACATTCCAGCCTGGACAACAGAGTGAGACAACAACACAAAAAAATTTTAAAAATTGCTCTCTAAAAATGTCATACCAAAATCACTCCCGCAGAAGAATATAGTAAGGAGAGCAATACCACACTCTCAAATTGGACAATTTTGGAGTTCCTGTGGCCTTGTGTTCTTTTCATCTTGGTCTAATACTTAAAAATAAACAGGTAAGAAAAACTACGAACAAGACTGTAGATAGCAGCCAAAATGAGTCTGTATTTCAGTGCTTCACACTCAGTAACATAGACTACAAAGTCAAGTTATTATGAAATGTTTTCTTATGATTTCTCACCAGAAATAGCCTCTTTAAAATGACTGTTTCCATCTCATTATTATTGACAGAAAACCCAGAGCTAGGCATGACTCAAAAAATATTTCTACATATAATTGTGTTTTAAAATAAATATAATTTTTTATTTTCAGATTGCCTGGACTTTTGGGTCCTCTTCAGATTACATTGGGAGATATTTATACACAACTTAAAAATCTTGTCCGAACTTTCAGGTTAGTGTTTAACATTATGATTTACCTTCTCAGTTATCTTGCCTTTATTGATTGTCTTCAGAATTCATAGGTAGACTAAGACACAAAGAAAGTAACTCACCTTCAGTGTCTTAGATCTAAATACAGTGCTCTACTTTCTCCCTCGCTAAACGATAGTACTTCTATCTTCTGTTGAACGTAACTCCTTATTTGCTCAAGCCTTGATATATTTCACTTTGCATAGTTTATTTATGGAATAGCTTAAAGTTGAGAAGGAAAATCATATCTAGGACACAACACCAGTTATATTATCATGGGTTGTAGTGAAATAGTAAATATATATCAGATGACTGACATTGTGCCAGGCACTATGGGCAATAAAAAGCATAGTGCTCACCTTGAAGGAAGAGCTCTCCTGTGTGAAGATCAGGTGAGTACAGTGAACAGTATAAGACAGTGGATAGTTTAATATTGAATAGTATGGAGCAGGCTTAAAGTGCTAAGAACTATAAGAGGGAGAATAGAGAATTGATACCAAGTGGAACAGTTGGGATTTTTTCCTAAAACTATCAAGGTAAAAATATTCAGTCAGGATAAGATTAACTTTTCTCTACCAAGAAGCATAAGCCTCTAAATGCCTTATTATAGAGGTGTACCAAATACACATTTTGGACAAATGTCAGTGACCAAATATTAACATCAACACTTGCCTGTGGCTAAAACCAGTTAGCACTAACATAGTAGAATAAACTTCTAGAGTGGACGAATCATTTCATCCAAGAAATTTATTATTATAGGCTAGTGTTGTCAACAGTAGCAGTTAGATTTTACATGTAAAATTACAGTACAGGAACAATTTCTTGGCATTCAGCTGTCATTATACATTGCAGACATTATACATTATTCTCTTGCAGTCTTTATACATTGGTGATACAAATAGAAAGTCCCTTTCAACACATTTAAAAACATCACTAACTTTTTGTGTACCAAAGAAGAATTCAGGAAGTTTTTCAATAAGGTTTTTGCTAGAAGAAACTTTGTATCTAGAATTCATAGTTTAAGGCAAACTGCAAAAATTCTTTATCTTCAGCTGCTAAAAGGATCAGTTGTAATATTTTACATTAACATATTTAACCTTTATAGACTCAAAACTACAGGGGTTATCTTAAAACATTCTTCTAGAGTCTTTTGTTGTATAGTCTAGATAGCTCAGTTTTCTCTAACAGTTTTGTCTTAAATTTTATATTACTGATCTTGATCAAAGTTTGTATTTGGATTATTACCTATCTGTTGTTTGTATAATTAATGAATTTTTCCAACTCATGATAGTTTTTGAGGTGACATTATTTTTCATTCATCATCAAAGATGTGCAGAATTCCCCAGTAGGACGTTAGGTACAGCCCTTAAAGGTTATTATTGTTAGTGTTATGAATATTAGTAGATAGTGCAGTTCTGCAAAGACAAGTTATGATAAAATCTAATATCTATTATTCTGTGTTACCTTATTCAAATTATCATAAACATTTTCCCAAGATATGTTCTTGAGAAAGCTATGTAGTCAGTATTTGTATTAAATATCAATCTATTTTCCTAAATAATTGAAAGTTATTACTGATGGCTTTATATAAAAAATTAACAGTTTTCACAAGCATTATTAATTATTTATAATTAATTATAAATTATAATTAATTATTGCAGTGTTTATTCAATTGACTGATAAAACAAGCACATAAAGACATTTTCACTTCATTTCTTCTGGTATGTTCATATTTGAAAATGAATAAGTGTCAGCAGTGATAAATCTGAATGTCATTGTTCTAATTACTAATATTACCATCATTAGATATTATGGAAACTATGCAGTTTGAAGATTATTGATCACATACAAGTTCAGGGATGTCAGAAATAATCCTCAGATTGGCCTAGGGCTTTGGAAAACTAACTAAATGCATTAAAAAGAGGGTTTGGGCCAAATAACAAGTCCAAAGCTGAACTTCTCTATATGCCCTGTTAGTGATGAAGAAAGACACCAATTTTTTTAGGTACTCTATACCCATTACAAAACCATGCATCCAAAAGGGGGAAAAAGTATTTGACAAATGCCAACACTGATGATAAAGTTTGAATAGACATACACAATGTGGAAACGCTGAAGTTTACTAGTTGTTCAGAATTTATGAAGGAGTGAGTAACATACTAACACAAAGTCTAGCTGAGGGAAGATGAAGCTTAGGTGCTGCTCTGTGTTTCGTTGATTTTTGTAAGAACTTGCCATTCGGCTTCCTGCAGACAACATAGTTAGTCACCATTCTGAGCAAACTGATCAAGTCACATGTTTGCCCATTTCATGATGAGTGATTTATACGAACAGCCTGCCCACACTGTGCTGAATGTTCATCAGTTTTTGCCCAAAAACAGCATGACTCAACTTCCCTATTCACCCAATCTCTTGGCACCTTTTTTTGTTTCCCCAAGAAAAGTCCTCAGAGAGATCATTTTGCCGATGTAGAAGAGGTAAAACAAAAAATGGCAGAAGCACTGAAAGGCATTAAAATTGATGAGTTCATAAACTGTTCTGAGCAATGGAAAAAACATTACGATAGGTGTATTGCATCAAACGGAGAGTACTATGAAGATGACTAAAGTTTAAACATGTAAGAATAAGTACACAATTTTTTATAAGTAAATTCCAGGGTTTTTGGGGGTCCTTCATAAATTAGCTAGCGATTTACTTTGACTATATTTTTTAGAATGTGTTTTTCTATAGCTCTATTACATACCTCCTTCTTTTTTAAAAAAAAAATACTGTATTCTGAGGTTCTCAAAACTTATTAGAAACCCATAGGAGAAAAAATGTTAGGCTACCCCAGATACTTCTGATTAGTGAGACATGGCTCAAATTTGGGGACTGATTGGGATCACCTGGGCAACCTTAAAAAAGTTGACAGCTGGGTCCTATCCTCTCCCTATCCTCCCTCCCTCAAGGATTCTGATTTCATTGGTCTGGCATTTGACCTTCAAGGGGGCAAGATTTTTAATGCTCTCCAGATGATTTTAATGGGCAGTCAAGGCTGATAATCCACTGCGCTAGGGCATAATGCAAAAGAAGAAGAAGAAGAATTTAGGGACTGATACCTCACTGGCCATCCCAGTCCCTTGGTTCTGCTGCTCCCTCCCTTCTGCCGCCAGTCAGTAATTTTAGAACTTTCACTGAATGGAGACAGATAATCATGAAATTTCTATTATCATTCTTCCCATTTTTTTCCCCTATTTCTAAGGAGCTTTTTGTTTTTCCACCATAGATCACAAAGATTGTCTTAAGAAGTGACTAATTTGTTTTCCTTTTATTAAAAAGGTGCTATTATTATTAAAGAAAAAACCATTTAACAACCAATGAGAACTTCTGTTCAGCATCAACTGATGTTATCATATCAAGTTGTAATTTCAGTGAAAACAGTGAAACTTGATGCTTTAGTTAAACTGTGCCACCTTACTATGGATAAATTTCCTTTTCTCTTTAGCATTACTTATGTCACCTGAATTATACTTTTGAAAATAACTGCAGGATTACCCTATTACTACTTTTCGTACCCTAGAAATTTGAGTATTTCATCATAGAAACCACTGTCCAGTCTGTTATTTTGCTTTTTTTGTTTGTTTGTTTTTGTTTTTGTTTTTTTAGAGACTAGGTCTCCCTCTTTTGCCCAGGCTGGAGTACAGTGGCAAAATCATAGCTCATCAAAGCCTCAACCTCCTGGGCTCAAATGATCTTTCCTTCCCAAGTAGCTAGGGCTACAGTTGCACACCACCACATCTGGCTAATTTTTTTTTTTTTTTTTGAGTTGGAGTCTCACTCTGTCGCCCAGACTGGAGTACGGTGGCCGCTTCCAGCCACTGCAGCCTCGCCTTCTGGGCTCCGGCGATCCTTCCGCCTCAGCCTTCCGAGTATCCGGAAATCAGCTACCACGCCCGGCTGATTTTTTGATTTATTGTAGAGATGAGGTCTCGCCTGCCCAGGTGGGTCTCGAACCTGGCTAATTTTTTAAATTTCCTTTTTTTTTTAGAAACAGGGTCTCACTATATTGCCCAACCTGGTCTCAAACTTCGGTATTTTTGGTCTTTTGAAGCAGGCCCTGTAATAATGCCTGGTCCATGTCAATACATGTAGTCAGCACAATACTCATTGTGTGCCAAGTTATGCAGCTTGAATATATACAGTTTTTATTTGTCAATTTGCCCCAGTAAAACTGGAAAAAATAGTTACAAGTTCAGTCAATTTTACAAAAAGATAGTAGAGACAGTTGTGGAAGCTAAAAGTAGAGAATTATCCTTGTCCGGTGGAGAAGACATTATATCATCAGGAAGAAGGTACATTAAAACTGAGACATAAGGATAAAATACATATGTCATTTGGGTTGTATCATATCTCCCATTTGCTGAAATGGCAGCCTTGCCAATGCTATCAGTCCAAACATCAATCTAGTATCTCACATAATAGCAAAGGAGCATCTAGTGGTATAGTCAGTGTAATCAGAAGAGTATAGCAAGTCAAGAGCCAGTAGTCTCACCAGGCCAAAAACAGACTGGGGCATTCTAGCAAGAGAACTTTAAAGACCCAGTAAGCTTAATAGGGTTGTTATTAAAAGGTTTTGTAAAAAACATACCATGGGTTATCTTCGTATTTATTACTCAAAGATGTTTAAAAAAAAAAGTCCTTTCATTTGTCACTTCTCTAGTTTCCAAATAAAAACGCCACTGGAGAGGATTTTGTTACCTGTGAAACTAAGCCTCCTTGTGATATCTAAGCTAGTCAAGACAAGAGTCACATTGTTCTGTAGTCCTGTAAGTAGTAGCTATGGAGTGCAGATCTGAGGAGACATCCAAATATTCTTTTCCTCTTATGGTTTATCACCTTTTTCTGTCATTCCTATTATGTAACTGTAAGTCCCTTCTAGTTACTTTCTGAATTATTTATAGTAAATTAAAACAAAGACTAGATGAGATGATTTGCTTCAAAATT